CAGAAGAAAAATGACTTAAGATATTAGGTCTTGTTTTCTGAAAAATTATCAAAAGTAAATGTCTCTTTATTAATTTTTAGATATATTTGTACCGAAAACAAGAAAAAAATACTATGTAAGATTGTACGTACTTTACTTAAAGTGAGTTCACCCAAAATGAAAATTAGCTTGTGTTTTACTCGCCCTCAAAGCATCCTAGTTGTATGTGACTTTCTTCTTTCAGACGAATCCAATCAGAGTTATATTAAAAATTGTCCTGGCTATTCCAAGCCTTTCAATGGGAGTAAGCGGGTGTTTGTTGTCAACAGTTCAGAAGACGTGAAATAAAGTGCGTGCATCCGTAATAAAATATCCCTCACAAGGCGATGAATAAAGGCATCCTGTAGCGAACCCATGCGTTTTTGTAAGATAAATATCCATATTTCAAACATAATAAAACACTTTTCTCTCACTTCCGGTATCTGTCATATGCGGAAGCAGTCCCGGCGGATGATGTAAGACGTCGGTGTTGCGCGATTAGTGACGAGCGCAGAGAGAGAACAAAACAAAACGGCGGTCATGAATTAGAAGCACAAAATGAGGATTTGTAAAGGAAAATGTCGGAGGATTTTGATATAAGCCAAGAGGAGACTGGTTTTCCTTTGAGAAACGCAGGAGCAAAGCTTACTTTAGCAGAGGCGCGCACAATGCATACGTCTTATGTCATCCGCCGGAACGTCTTCCGTGTACCACAGTCAGCGGAAGTGAGAAAAAAAGTGTTTATTACGTTTGAAATATGGATATTTATCTTACAAAAACGCATGGATTCGCTACAGGAGGTTTTTATTCACCCCCCGGAGCCGTGTGAGGCACGTTTTATTACGGATGCGCACACTTTATTTCACGTCTTCTGAACTGTTGACAGTTCACAGTTCAATACAATGGGGATACAATGGTTTATCCCCATTGTAAGGCTTGGAATAACCAGGTTAATATAACATATAACTCCAATTGGATTCATCTGAAAGAAGAAAGTCACATACACCTAGGATGCTTTGAGGGTAAGTAAAACACAGGCTAGTTTTCATTTTTGGGTGAACTAACCCTTTAAAATCAATAATGCTGTCTATACTTAAATTTTAAATCTTTTTAAAACATTTTTTTTTAAGTTAAAATTTTATGAACTCCCTTTGTGTGTGTCAAACAACCTCCCCCTCTGCTCCTATCACTAACTCACTGTTTACAAAGCTAACAGTTGCCCTTCATATACATACGGCCAATGGCTATGTTTCCATCCAAAGTTACGGATTAAACCTGTGCGCAAAATTTGAATATTGCATAAAACATTTGCGAATAAATCAGCGTTTCCATCCAGGGAGTTGAAGAGAACAAAATCGTCACTTCCTGATTACTTGCACTAAATATCATAAACTAAATTTGCTGCAGTAGGAGAAGGCACTGTATATAATAATTTGTGTATACAGTAAATTACAAGCTTCAGAGCGCGCAGGCAAAACGCGGTCATGTTATCTTATTTTCGGAGTCTGCTGTTTGGGAACACAGTTCTTGAAGTTAATAATAACAAGGCACTTTGACGAGACTTTGCTCAAGCATATTAGAATGACAAAACTAGCATTTCAGATGCTGTGCAATGAGATCGGTCCTTTGGTTTGTCCAGTTTTATGCTGTCCCATCGCAAAGTCACATGTCTTTTTTTGATGCACATTAAGGAATTTATTCAGTAAGTATTTCCATCATAGTTTATGCGCATGTTTTCTTACCGGATAAGAAATTGATCCTACTTAGTTGAGCGCATACGTTTTTTATACACATTTTTAGAATTCATGCGCATCTTGGCGTTTCCATCCAGTGATTTTTTTATGCGATATCCCAAAATGCGAAACATAGCTAATGTCTCGGAAGTAAGCATGCAAACAGTGTATGCTCTTCTCTGTTAGCTGCGTCATGCCGGATACGTTGGATACACAGAAGAGCATACGCTGTTTGCGTTCAGTGGATATTCTCCAAAATGGCACCAGGGTGACGCGGAGGAGACAAATTTGAATAAAGTTGTTTTTGTTTGTTTCACAGGCAGAATCAGAAGCTGGTCTCTGTACAAATCCACCTGTTACTAAAGTTCAATTCAGAGTTCGTTCCTCACATTTATGTTGTGAGTCTTAATGTGAAGAAGACCCCACACGTGTGCTGCTACACGAGTTCAGGAGAAACACTCATCCTAGATCAACTTCTGAAGGTTCATTTAAAGCTAATGCTCTTAGAATGTGAAAATCACAACAGATGTTTCCTTTAGTGCACAATTCATGTCTTTGTGTTCTTGTTTCAGTTTGTGTCACTCAAAAACATTAACGTTTGAGTTCGGCTTTAAAAATGAAAACCAACCTGTTTGTGTCTCAGTATCTTCATGTTTGTCTCTGAATGTTTCTTCAATCTTCATGTCTTCACTCTCCTCTTTAATAAACTCCATCTTTGTTTGTTCCTCAGTATCTTCATGTTTGACTCTGAATGTTTCTTCAATCTTCATGTCTTCACTCTCCTCTTTAATAAACTCCATCTTTGTTTGTTCCTCAGTATCTTCATGTTTGACTCTGAATGTTTCTTCAATCTTCATGTCTTCACTCTCCTCTTTAATAAACTCCATCTTTGTTTGTTCCTCAGTATCTTCATGTTTGACTCTGAATGTTTCTTCAATCTTCATGTCTTCACTTTCCTCTTTAATAAATGCCATCTTTATAACAGTGTGTCACGTGGATCTCAGTTGCTTCAGGAGTTTTTTTTCTGTGTTTGGACACTTTGTCCTGTTTAAGATATAATTAAAAGAAATTAACAGAAATAATTAACAGGAAAAAAAGATATAATCCAAACTAAATCTTGGAGCGCATCTCAATCAAATTTCTTAGTTCAGTAGTCAGTGCACTGGTCAGGGAGTGAGTCAGAGATAATGGCCTTAAATCACCTAATAAGACACACACACACACACACACACACACACAAACAACCAAAACTAGCACTCAAATGAATAAAATGGTTAATTAATAAAAAGTCATATAAAGCCTATATACAAAGTTCACATATATTTGGTATTTTCTGTTTTGTAGGTTATATAGATCACACTTTAATGTAATCAATTCCAGTTGGTCTGTCAAATTAATTTCACATGTTTGTGTTTGTTGTGCTTTATAGCAGGGGCCCGTTCTTCGTACGTCGCTAACTCAGTTAGCTGGATTTGATTGTTGATGATTTGGCGTGATCTTGGATTGTTTGGTTCTTCGAAGCTCATCCCGGAGGTGCTGTCATAGCAGCAGGTCCGTAAACTTAAACCTGCTCGCGAGCAGCTTATTTCATGTAAACAGGATTAGATCGCATCTTTTTAAGCAGAATTGATACTTAAAATCTGTCCCAGCCACTGCTACTTTATTAGAAGAGTACCCTACTGATCCAGGGACAATAATTTAAAATAATAATCATTTAAAGATAATATAATAATGTTGTGTAGTCTTTAATACTATAGACACAGCCAGTTTTACTCACTAAAGGTTTATTCGTCATAAAATTATTAGTTCACAATTGCATTAAGAGTCTTACACACATGCTACACAGATAATATAGAGTCGTGCATTAATCTGAGTGATGACAGATATTATGGGAGTGGCTTGGTGGAGCGCAGGAGACGCAGAAACTTGAAAACTTTAATTAATGCTGTTACGTAACAAATCTGTTCAAATATAAAATTAAATTAATTGCTAATTATTACACTGAAATAAAAATGTAAAGCCTGTACAAATATTAGAAACCGTGAATATAAATAATTGGGAATCGTGTAAAAAACTAAACTAAAATAAAAACAGTGCACATTTCATTGATCTATTATAACATTTATGTAGTTTTGTTCGCTTGGCCGTTTCTTTATAAAAGTCCAGAAATTTGTCAAGTTTTTCGTCAGGTGTCTTTTTTAATTATATGATGTCATTACGTTGCTGTCTTGCCGCCAGCCAATCGCTGCATTGCTGATCGTGGTTTCGAGTATCGATACATAGCCCCTTTTAAACCAACCCATGAACGTGCCACTATCTCAGATAACTCAATCCAGCCATACTAATCATCAACAACAGCTGCGTTCGAAGAACCGAATTAGCCAGATCCTGATTAGCGCGATGATATCATCTCGGATGTGACATTTCATCTCGGATGTAATAAGCGACGTACGAAGAACGGGCCCCGGGTGTCTTCAGCGAGCACTCGCTCATTCGAGTGATTCAAAACAGTAGGCTTGTTTGAGATGAGCAAACTCTGAGCAGAACTGATCACCGCGAGATGCATGCCGGTTAGAAAAGTGTCCGAGTTACGTCTGACTTGCTCTGATGTCATGCTGACGTGTGCCAAAAAAACTGCGCTGATCAAAAGCATGATGGGAAGCGACTGGATGACGACACAGCTTAATGCTCATTGGTTCAGACAACCGCGATGTTGCGTTCTCTTCTAAAATATTTGATTTTTTATCTGATTTCATGTGATTATGTATTTAAATTATGCATGAATGTTCCCAAACACTATGACTGCGATCTCTTGTGTGAGATATGTGATTGTTGTCATATTTCTATAAAAATCGAAAATACATGTTTGTATTAAAGTAAAAATGATTACTTATGTGCCCTCTAGAAGCTTGCGTTCTGCAAGTGAACGTCGCTTTATTGTGCCGGCACAATAAATTGACTTTTAAATGAACAGTTCCCTCCTGGTGGAATGACCTGCCCAACTCAGTCTGGCTAAAAACACATCTCTTCCAACTTTATTTGACCCTCTAACTCTAGAAATCTCTATTCTAATTCTATTCTTTATACAAATAAAGAAATAAAACTTGCCCCTTTTAGACTTGCACTCTATTTATTTACTAACTGCTTGTTTTCTTTAAAAAAAAAAAAACGAACACTTGCTTCTCTAATCTTGTTGAATCCGTGTATCATAAGATCATTCATTTTTTTATTTAATATTGAAAGTAGAAAAATTAGAAAACGGCTCCTTTTTCGTTTTTTTTTTTCCAAAAAACGAGAATTCAGCTTAAATTTTCGTTTTTCGTTCATGGGTGGAAAAATAAATAAACAGCTTGAATATTCGATTTCTACACTTTGAGACTTTAGTCTTTGCAACTTTACAGATCTTCTTTATGCACCAAGAGCTTGTAACACTCCAAAGACAAAGGCAAAATTGAAATCGCATCATATGACCCCTTTAAACTTTTTCCATCAAACAAACAGGCTAATGAATAGCTCGACACAACTCATACCGGGGCAGAGTCTAGACAGGGCTTTCTTCTGTGTAAATATAAATTCTATATTTTGCATCAGCTGGGCATAATTCCCGCCCACGTGTAGAAATCGAATATTCAAGCTGTTTATTCATTTTTCCACCCATGAACGAAAATTTAAGCTGAATTCTCGTTTTTTGGAAAAAAAACGAAAAAGGAGCCGTTTTCTCGCTTTTCTACTTTCCACATTAAATCAAAAAACGAATGATCAAATGATACACGGATTTTTTTGCATTCTATCTATTTGTTTTCTTTTTATTTGTTATACAATTATAATTCGGACTTTCTGACTTCTGATTAACAAAAGCAAAAAAGGCCTTGAACACTAGCTTGCTCTATTTCTTTCTATTCGATCTGTTTTCTTTTTATTTATTATATGATTTTTTTTTTAAACCTTGCTACGTGTATTGCGTTAAGCTAACTGAGACTTGTTATAGCACTTGCGTATCATTGCTCTTTTGTTGATTTTGATTGCTTCCATTGTCCTCATTTGTAAGTCGCTTTGGATAAAAGCATCTGCTAAATGTATATGTAAATGTAAAAATGGATAATAAATACACCTTTCGTATGGAATTAAATAGCAAGCACTTTGAGTGTCTTGTTCATCATATTTATTTTCATTTAAAACCAACAGAACTGAAATAATATCATCTTTATTAGCACAGCATGAGTGTGAATAACGCGATATCTGTCTTTGGTCTCATAGGTATCTGCTCCACTTCAGGCGAGGCGCATCTCTCGAACAAGCCTCTAGTGATTTTTGTGAAGCAACTGATTCAAATGACTCCATCACTGGACTTACAAAATATCCTTCATTAATGTCAGACGGATAGATAAAGCATTAAAGAGTTACATTTGGCAATAATTAATTTCACAGTTTTATATACAATTCTTTAAACGAGTTGTACTGATTTAAAAAAAGAATTAAATGATTTAAAAGCACACACCTTTCTGCAGCAGAATCACAGAGGGGGCGCGGCGCAGCCTAATGACGTCACATCGCCATACCAAAATAAAAGTCCTTTTCGCCGAATTTACAATAGAAAACAAATGTAAATAATAAAGTAATAAAGGGATGAACTTCAGAGCAATCAAAAGCCCAAAGCTATTAATACAGATGAGCTTTATATCTAGTCTGTGAAGTGAACTGTGAAGTGTTTTCAATGATAAACTAGAGCATTTGTGATATTTTCAATCAAAGACAAACTTTATCTTGATATTCAAATGACAGGATTGGAAAGATCTTTCAAACTCATGAAGAATTTGTAGATCAAAACTAAATGGTTGCAGAGTGATCTAACCATTGAATCCTAATGACAAATCATCTTATTCCATCTCAGTTTCTCCCTTGAATATAAAGGCAATAAATCAAATTTCAGCTTTGTTTGGAGTGGACTTTATCAAAGGTCCATGACTGTAAAGCATTACATTGACGGTAAGTTTAAAACAGTTGATTTTGACTGTCTGAATGGAAATTTAGTTTTAATGGAAATGGTTCAAATAATTTATTTGAAATGTTAATGAATTGCGATTTACAATTCCCCAGATGATCTTTATTAAAATTAGATAGCAATATATAATCTGTGCTAAAATGTGTTTATAATATACATAAGTTAAGTATTAAGCTCTCTGATTTCAATTATTTGAAATTGATTTAGAAGCATAATTTTACTCCACATATTAGCCCTTTATGAATAACAGATACACACTGAAAATTAATAAAGCTGTCTTCTATAAGGATGGTGGTAATGTTCTTTTATATGAGTAACTTTGTTTAGTTTTTGCAGTATATAGGAATGCGGTTCATTGATTTAAAGCCTTTCACCTTTTCAGTTTCTTTAATTGGCAAAAAATATAAGAACTTTGAAAACATTTACAAAAAATTAATAAATAATTTTTAAAAAGACACCATGCTATTTTCTGAACCCCATCAAACCCCTATGAAACATTAACACTCCCACACTCATTTTTGTGGGAACGTCATATTAACTCATGGGAACATGATATTATGTCGTGGCCACGAGATGTGAAGTCGTTATCTTATAAGTCGTTATTTTTAACTACTAAATCACCGTGGATGAAGCGGAGTCCAGC